TTCCAACTAATTAACCAAGTTAAAACAGCTCATACACATGGTAAGGATAATTATGATGTTTTGTATGAGGTGGTTGAATATTGGGTCCATCAAAAAAATAGTGAAAGAAAAGAAATGATTGCAATTCGCCATTTGCACATCACTTATCCAGGAATAAAACCATAGAAATTCAAAAGGAACTGAAAATGTTTAGGATCGTTTTAGTGTTTAAAATAACCAAATAGATCTTTCTGTTTAGTTTTTTACTAACAAATACCAAATGATTCCCTGTAAAATACACTATAATTTGATCATTATGATATCAAATAATTATATAATATATATTTGAAATGATAAAAATTGGACTAATTGGGTTGATCGAGGTTGAACCATTGAATAACTTTAAAATACATTATATTTTAGCCAATGATGTTCATTTGTTTTACTTGATGGCCAAATCCCGTGTAGGTCAGGCCCATTCAACTCTTTTATTTTATGGTTAGCGGTTAGCCCATTAGATACCATGCATTAGTTTATTGTTAAATTTTATATTTTTAGCAATAAAAAGAAGTATTGTTTTTGCCTTTTCATATATATTTTATCACCACGGAGAAATAAAAGGACTTAAAGAAAAAAATTGACACTCCTGGACCCATTTAAATCCGCATGTGTACGGTAAGTTGGCCCGTTCCACAGAGAAAAGATAAATAAATTGACACTCCATATTCTGCCCTTCCTACAAACGCTTTTAGAATAACAAACCAATGATGTTCATTTGTTTTACTTGATGGCCAAATCCCGTGCAGGTCAGGCTCATTCAACTCTTTTATTTTATGGTTAGCAGTTAGCCCATTAGATACCATGCATTGGTTTATTGTTAAATTTTTTTTTTAGCAATAAAAAGAAGTATTGTTTTTGCATTTTCATATATATTATCACCATGGAGAAATAAAAGAACTTAAAGAAAAAAATTGACACTCCTGACCCGTTTAAATCCGCATGTGTACGGTAAGTTGACCCGTTCCACAGAGGAAAAAGAAAAAAATTGACATTCCCTATTCTACCCTTACTACAAACGCTCCTGGAGCAGGAAATTTGAAATGGGGGAAGAGTTTTTTCCTCTCTGCTATTATATATTTTTAATTTAAAAATATACAACAAATGTACTTAGTGTGATTGGTTATGATCGTTGTTTTTCTTTAAAATGGTCATGGTTCGAATCCCAGTACGTGTCTTTTTAATGAATAGAAAAAAGTAATTGTGAAGACCAAATGGGGCTCCCAAAGAACTACCGAGGGTTTCCAAAGATAAGGGTAACGTTGTGCTCGGTCGTTAGATCTCTATATAATCCTTTTGGGCCTTGAGCCTAATTGGATCTAACTCAATTGGCCAACGTGCAGGCCAACTCGTACCACGGATGTTGAGTTTGTGGGGCAGTCGATTTCGAGTATGGAGCTCGAAGATCAACCATTCCACAGAACCAGTCCAGTCGATTGAGAAAAACTTCAGTCTTGCTCATACGAAACGCCACATGTTTAGAAAGATTTCTCATGTTACTTTCAGGAAGAAGGTTTTTCTGTATCACCTCAAGAAGTTTCGAAATACACTGGGAAATCGATTTCGAGTAGAATCTTTTGCAAAGGAAGCTACAATGCTCCTCTTATACTCTATAATCTTAAAAAAGATCTCACAAGACAACTATGAACGCAAAAGAGATTATTGATTCTACTGCTAGAAGGTATTGTTTGTCAAAGCTTACAACATGCTAAAGAAGAAGTACAACAATTTCCATGTTTTAGGGATCGGCAGCTGTAGTGGAGTTTGGCAACATCACTTCTTCATTAGGAGAACGACGGTATGGGCTGCAATACTTCTGTTCTCCCCCAGACTGTCGACCTTCTCGTGGGTTTTGGCCTTCAAGTTCACAGCAGCTGGGTCTGCTCCTAGCAGTTCACACAAGTTGGCCCTGATGGCTTCTTTGAACGGGCTAAGTTTCGGTCGTTGAAGGATCAAGGTGGCATCCAAGTTTCCAATCTCATAACCGGCCTCGTGCATCAGTCTCACCTGAGATAGAGGCACGGAATGGAGGGGTAAGGCCTTCTTTTGTAATATGGATCTATCTGTGCCTAGTATGCTTCACACAACAGCTAAAACCATGATGCATAGCAAATATGTGAAGCAGCCACCAAAGTAGCCTTTGCTCCATATCTGATTTCAAACGTTTGCAAACCAACCCAACAAGATTTCACTTGAGATGGATAATAATGTTTCCCTAACTTGATTTATGTAACTATAATGTCATTCTAATCAGAAGTTCTGTGACGATTATGAAGTATAACGAAAAATGGACAAAAATGCCTGATTGCCAAGAAAACTCGCAGACTATTTAATGTCAGATACACAGTCAGGATATGATGATATGTGTCTCGAATTTAGCTTTGTAGCTCTTAAAAACACAAGGAAAGCGCATCGTGAAGGGGACGCAGGAGCACATATATCTACTGCGACGACAAAACAGACGACAATTCAACAACAGGCCATGGGTTTATGAATCTCTGTCGCTCATTCTAACTTCAAGAACTCTAAAGTCAATCAAAATCTTTCAAGCTGTGGTTGCAGCATATCATAACAACATAGAAATCCAACAACTTTTAAGGCCACGAAGATAAATCCTCATCTTCTCTAACTTGGCTACTACATGTTACAGCACAAACAGATTTGATTAAAAATCAAGAGCAACGTTAGAGCAGCAGCTGAAATGACACTGTGTGGCCTCCCTCACTAGTCACAAGATAACAGTTAAGCAGTTCAAGGGAAAATAGCAGTGTTAAAAAGGCCAAAAGATGTGTCCCTGATTTACAAATTTTAGCTCATACTTTTATCCAATAGCAAGTAGCAAGTATCTCAAACAGGTTATGATCAGAACAATCATTCGCAAAGAGCATCAATCTTATATTTTCCTCAAACACCTAGATTCTCAGACAAAGTATCTTGATCTATTACTATTCCCCGAACCATGGAAATACTGTCTCTGCTTTACAGATATCAGCTCCTTTTATCCAATAACAAGTATCTCAAACAGGTTATGATCAGAACAATCATTCGCAAAGCATCAATCTTATGTTTTCCTCAAACACCTAGATTCTCAGACAACGTATACTGATCTATTACCAGTTCCCTAACCATGGATGTAGTGTGATGAAACCCAAATAAGGTGACTAATCAATGCATATTTTGAGCCATGAAGAAATCCACGATTAACCAAAATCAAGAATCGGAAAGACTCACAGCTTCTTTGATGAAAACAGAAGAAGCTGCTCCCTTCCACTTAGGATCATTATCAGGGAATATCTGGCCAATATCAGGCAGACTCAGTGCTCCCAATATCGCATCCACAACGCAGTGCAGCAATACATCTCCTGCAACAAAACGATAGGAAACAAAATTTGGTTCTGAATTCCAACTACGGTTCTAAAATCTTTGCTTAAACACCCAGAGCCAAGACCAATCCCCAATCCTCAAACTTCCCACGAACCACTTCAATCACTTGAAGCAGAATCTCCTATCCAATTAAAAACCTGGGAGTTCCTCAAGTAGATGAAAACAGTTAATAAATCTCATTTACCGTCGGAGTGAGCCTCACAGCCTCTCTCGTGAGGAATGTTAATACCGCCGATGATCAAAGGGTAGCCAGGCTCCAGCCGGTGGAGATCGAACCCATGACCCACTCTAAAAGGCAGAGCCTTGGAAGCTTTGCCGGAGGTTGTAGCCCCATCGACCTGTGGAACTGCGCTGGGCGGCGCAGCTGTCGCCGTCACGGAAAGTCTGGCTGGTCTCCGGCCGGCAGAGAGAAAATGATGATGCGTCGAAGGCAGGGAGCAAGTCCGACCCTGTAACGAAGGAGTTGTTTTCTTAGTGGAGGAGATTGAAGCAGATGCGCAGAAATTGGTGGCCGCGGCCATGGCCATTGGGGAAATTGATTTGCTCGGCTGTTGGTTGCAGACAACGAAACGAACAGCAGCTACCAACAAGTGAGCCGTATCAATTTTCAATCTATATATTGTGCGTCTTTTTTTGTCTGGACAGCAATTTATAATACGGGAAAAGGATCATGGCGTGGGCGGCATATTTAGAAGGTTGGATTCTGGTAATGTGAGTTTCGTCCTGTTCGGCTAATCGCTGAGGAATGGCGTAGTAGTAAAACTTCTTATATTACCCATCAAAAAAAAAAAAATCTTATATTTGTTTATTTGAAATTTTAGTGAATTGAGGGCAGATTAAACTGTTGTTTAGTCATTTTGTCATTAGAAAAACAGGTCTTAATGACTGATTTACAAGGCGTGGTTGGTGGGCAGAAAAAGATTATCATCAAGTATTTTCTTCTAATGTGTTCTCTTTTCAAAAAAAAAAAAAAAAAAAAAGGGAGGAAGGATTACGTTAAAATATAGAACAAAGGAACAGGGTGTGCGGGCCGCCTTATTGGGCCTTGACTCCCAAGTCAAAATTGTCAGCGCCATCGCCTCGCTTATTTGGCCTTGAGATTGAAATCCAGTAATTTCTTATGTGCCAAATGCCAAATGTAGTTTGCAGAGCGAAATACGGGAATGAAATGTGACATTGTGTTTTTTATCGCTTGGATGACTAGTTTTGGCAGCTAAATGAAATGTAACAAACTTCACAACTTTTTGAATAATTTTGTATAATCAAATTCAAATCGAGAATTGTATTATAGTTTTTGGGCGTGGTGAGTTCAAATCATTTTCATTCCACCTTATATTCATTCTCATTCCAAATTATAGAAAAAAATGTATTCGGACAATGCAATTACATCACATGAAATTACACATTGTACCAACATTTGGATTACATACATTTTCAGAAAGGTTTGTAAAAAATTCTAAGATTGTCAAATATATACAAATGCCTACGAAAATTGTAGATCATACAAACACAAATACACAATCCATTTGTTTGTTATGGACTGGCTTTTCAAATTGGACTTAAAAAAGAGGATATTCTCTCGCCTGTTCAATATGCTGCGGTGTGTGCATCAGAAGACTCGAAACTCTCCATTTTATTCATTTGTCAGTCCCTTAATGTCATAAGTACCAAATCAACCAGGCATCCGTCTGATCAAAGAATATGAGATCATAGATAAAACTTCCAGAAGAAAGAAAGATTGGGGTCTCTATCTCTGCTCTCGGTTTCTTAATCCAGCTGCTGAATCAACAGACCAAAATGCAAACTAAACTATGATTTTGGTCAATCTACCCTATGATTTTCAGTCGAAGAACAGACAAGAAGAGAGACATTAACGCATGCCATCAGCAGCAAAGTGTTTGTTTGTAACTTTGTATACAGATCTACGCGTATACAGCACAACAGTTCCAACTGCCCAGAGCTGACATTCTGCGGGAGTCCTCTCAGCAAACAAACTTCCATACATTTTTGGCACTATGATTAGACTCTCTAGTATGTACATCTTTAAAACTGAGACAAACTTTAGTTGGAGGTAGAAGGCCTTGGCTGCTTGCAGCTGTGTTCTGGTATAAGGCTCTCAGGGGCAGCTCGCTTCGGTCTCATCTGGAAAGAGAAGGGTAGCAAGCAAGTAGAAAGTGAGCAACGAAATAAGAAGCTCTGCATGATAGAGGCAGTTTGAAAGAATGTGTTTGTGCAAGAAAAAGTTGAAGGACGGCAAGTTAGTGAATAATATGACCAACCTTCTCTTCTGCTCTTTGGTAGAAGTTTCTCAGAAGTATGTTCTTAGTTTCAGTGGTTATGACTGCAAGCAAGATAGTCGAGGAAGCTGGTAAGAAGATATCGAGTTCCACTTATGACAGCAGACAAGTATTTTTCTATATAGGTTGAGCTAAATCGAGCTTGGTTTTTGTAACTGCCTTGGTTGTACAAACTTTTTCTAACCTAAACCTACTGGCTAGTCCAGAATCCCAGAAACAGGTAATACTGGGAAAATGCATGCAGATCAAAGAGACCAGCAAAGGAAGTAACTTCAACCGTGTTGGACTTGTAAATTCTCTAATATAATCGAATGACTATAACCCAACATTCAGACATATAACTTTAGTCAGATTTATCTTTTGAAAAATAGGATAACATCCTCTGATAAACTAGCACCTGAGTCCTAACTCCATCTGACAGAGAGAAAAAATGATCTGTTGCAAATGGTGGTATACGTTAATGAGGAAATTCTTTCTTAGGGTTTTGTCTACCTAATCGACGTAAGGAGTTGTTTTGAGAAATCTGACAAACGTATATTACTTCTTTTATCACTTTCCTATATGCCTTTTAACAGGAATGTTCCATGCATCCTGCTTCCTGAAATGTCAAATGCGAGGCCTATAAATGCAGTCTGAAAAAGTTATAACCGATGACGAAATTCGTAGATCGGTAAGATGAAGTACTTGCTATGCATCGCATGTTACTTGAGCAGTCAAGTGCTGAAAGGTCATGTTCTTTATGCAAAAGTGGATACTACCCTAGAGAGAACAAAAATAATAGGCAAGTTCAGTACCTTGATCTGGTGGTGGAAGAGTCCGTCCGTGGGTAGGATGATAGGTTGCTGGAGTCATTTTCTGCAAATGGATCAGGAAAAAAATCTGTCATAAATATGAGTAAACCGGTCAACTTCCGGATAGGCACATTCTGTGGGCAATACAGCATTTAAATCAGAATTATTGGTTGGTAAAGAAATTCCAAATAGGCTAACCCTGTGCTATTGAATGTTGAATTATTAATATTAAGAAATACAAATGTGTCATAAATTTTTAATCATCTCAAACCTAGAGGTGCCAATTCATCACAAGTAAAGTCATCCCCAGCACTATCCAGTCTCAACTCCCATGAAATAATCCACAATAACATGCATACAATGACTTCTCAGCAATCTATTCACATGTCTATTCTACCATGCACCCTGAGCAGGATAAGGAGACAAGCTTTTCATATGTACCCTAGTCCGAATTTTACATAGTGCTGAATCCATGTCAAGCCTACAAATGAGACAGACAGCGGTTCAACACTTCAACTAACACATTCGACAACCAATACACTGGATATGTCAGAAAAAAGCATCTGTAACGTGCTATCGACAAAAAATTGGCACGTGATAGTTCAATTGAAGTGCCATGCACTATAATTAAATGTTCCTCCATAAAAATTGTGGTTCAATCACAACCAAGGGCAACACTTGATAAATGTAATAGACAGTTACAAGAGAAGAGAGAAAGCGCATGCCTAGTGGTGATAGAGAGAAGATATGCTAAATAGGCAACCAAGTGAGCTCCACATGTCCAAGTTCGTTTTCTATTTCAACTAAATTTCTTTTTCTTACCAACAGCTGGATTCTCAGCTAGGACATTGTTCTATAAACTCAACTCAGCCTAGTGAACTAAGTGGGCTCGACACTATATTTGAACAGATTGCATTGCTTTAGGATCCTGCTTATTGATCTCATACATTCAGCGCTCTCACATCTCAATGAACTGTTTGCCTACATCTATTTGTCCTATCAGAATCTGAATGAAATTCTCAAGAATTTTGAGATACACTAATACTTTCCATCCGAAGTACTAACCCCCCCAACCCAATTGCAAGCAAGGAAACCCTGGATTGGGTTAATAGTAACTCATGCCTCCTATACATAGATACCAAGGTGAGAGTAGCAGAACAAACAATAGTACATTCTCGATCAGCCACAGTTTTCTTCTTCCAAGCAGTTCTTTTAAGAACCTGCACTCGAAAACCTAACCGCACATTAGACCCTAACACCTCAACAAACGCGAAACAAGATTGTTGTCAGAAAAAAAGGACAAAAATTATCACGCAGATGCACACACACAAGCTTCCCACTGAAATCTGAAATTGGACCAAGAACACCATAAACTAGCTTCAGTTCTTAGCACATGCATAAGGCTCATCTCTACCACTGGGGCTGCATTCCAGCAGATCAGCAAAACAAAAGCCAAACACAAGTGAATCTACTCATTAGAGGAATCAAAACTTCTACAGACGCAATTCCAGTGAAATCAAAGATAGTAACATGGAGCTGCGACTGCCTGGGGCGAAGAGAGTGTGCGCTTACGGATGGAGTCGAAGGATCGGATGGCCGAAGTTGGCTGAAGTTATGTGGGTCAAAAGAAGGCAAGTCGCCAAGCATAGACCCCATGGAATGCTGGATTCGCTTCGCTGGTTGCCCAAATCTAGAGAGAGAGAAAGAGAGACAAGGCAGGCGATGAAGAAGGAGAAGACAATGGGCCGATGGATTCTAGAAATTGGGTCTGGTTTTGGTTGGCAGTTTTGCAGAATTTTTGCATGACAAGGCGCGGTTCGTAAATAAAGGACGAGTCTTTCTCCGAAAGAATGAAGAATGCTCAGCTCAAAAGTAAATAGGGAAACAAAGAGCCAAGGTTGGTTGGACGGACGGACGGACGGACTATAATCCGCCTTCATTTCTGAGGACCTGCCACGGCGTCGTTTGGTTAGGTTGAAGAAGTCGGGTCAACGGGGCCCAGACCCACAACAACCCAACCGAAACCGCGATCCATTGAATCCCGACCGTTCAAGAGAGCATCCCCACCAAGCTCAAGACGTTCATAACACACCTGATTTGCTCCTTTTTTCCTCTTCATTCGCCCTAGGTTTCCTTCTCTCGTTCTCCCTCTCTCAAATTTCTCCTCTTCCGCTCTGTTCTCCCAACCGTCCGGCTGACATTCCCGGCCGCCGCACGCAGCTGAAGAAGGATACCACGGGAGAGTAAAAGAAAAAAATGGCCGCTCCCGAAGCCCCTCTCAACTACGTCGGCGTAGCCCGAAAGTCCGCCGCCTTCCGGCTCATGAAACAAATGGTACTGCTGCTGCTTCCATAGCCGCCGACTCTACCCGTCTGTGATTTTTCTTTTTCTCTGTATTGAAAAAGGGTTAGGGTTTGGTTGTTACGGTTTTTGACGATTTTTTCGCGTGCAGGGATGGGAAGAAGGAGAGGGTCTGGGAAAAGATAAGCAGGGGATCAAGGGTCATGTTAGGGTCAAGAACAAGCAGGATACTGCTGGTAATGATATGTTTTGTTTGGATTGTTCGATTTCAGTTCCTGCTTATTGCTTTTGTCTCTTTGCCTGTCTGACTGTTTTGGGAGAGGTTAGAATGCAAAATGTAGCTCTTTCTTCAGTTGCTATTTTGCTTGGTAGATTAAGGGGAAAAGAATTGTAATGAAGGTTTAAGCAATTGCGGGTTTCCATTTCCTCTAATTTATCCCCTGTGTTTGTTTGGATTCTGTGAACTTTCGAGGATCGCGTATTGATTACTGTCGTTCTGCTTGTTTCTCTACGGAATTAGGTGTTGGAGTGGAGAAGCCAAATCCTTGGGCTTTTGATACTACCCAATTCGATAGTATCTTGAAGAGATTGAAAGTGGTATGTTGTTGATTTGCTTGGGCTCTGCTTTGCAATTGCTCGTATGATGTGTCTTCACTGTACTGATTTCTGGTTTGTTGTTGACTGGCAGCAAGCGGTGCAGAACACTGATGCAGGTATGGCGACAAGGGCAACCTTTTAGTATTATTCATTAGTTAGAAGTGGATTGTTGGTTTGAAAATCGCATCTTTCTCTTGTTACAGCTATTGCGATAGATAGCGAAGAAGAGAAACCTGAGGATAAGGCTGTTTCTACAGAGGTTCAAGAGCCGGTTGCAAAAGCTACTCGACCACAAAGAAGGTTCGTGTATATGTTTATTTGATTGTCTGCTTGGAACTATTACCTGACTTTCATAATGATGACCGCTATAAAGCAAGTGCTTTTGGGTTTTTCTTGTTGGCCTTCAGATACAAGAAGAGAGAGAGAGGTAAGCTTGTCACTGCCTATTCTTTGAAGGATTTGGAAGGGATTCTTGTAAGTTCTGCACCTTGGACAATAGTATAATAGTTGAGATGCGTGGTTTCTGTCGGGTTCTCATGTCTGCAATTTATGGTACAGGTTAGAAAGACTGAGGAGTCAACAATTCCTGATGAATTGGACTCTGCGGAAGATCCAGCTTCCCAAATCTATAACCCTTCAGGTAATGCCATCAACATATAATATAATCTAATGGATATTGCTTTTCAAGATGGTGATCCTCTTGTAACACCAAAATTTACCTTCTGCAATCATCTGATGTTACTTGCATTCCCAATGTATTTAATTGAACTGTTGTTAAATTCTTTATACTTTCTAACAGAGGCAGAGATTGTAGAGCCTCCTCCGGACTGGTGGGGCTACAAAATTGGGTTCGTCTGTGGTGGTCTTCTTGGAGCTCGTTCTACCAAGAAGAAATCATCCCAAAATGGAGATGCTCAAAATCATAAAGAGAGAACTGCTTTCCATGAAGAAGATCAAGAGAATCTCTACAATCTTGTGCAAGTATGCATTATTTCAACTTTTTTCCTAACAATTCTCTGTTCTCTTGCATGCTTATATATTACAATTTGAATGATCAAGAGGTATGGAACCCGCAGTTTTGGAGTTCGTTCATCTCTTTCATTGAATGGTAATTTCTTAACCTGGGTTCTCCATTGATATTCTAGGATAATGCCACGTCTGGGAAACAAGGACTGGGGATTAAGAGCAGGCCAAAGAAGATAGCAGGTGTCCGCTTTCAGGGGAAAAAGAAATCCTTTGGTGGCAGTGAGGATGATGATTCTGCTGATGATGGCGAGGACTCTGCTGAATATGACTCCACAGCAGAGGAACTATGTGATGATGATGATGATAAAGATATGGAAACTGTTAATGATAAGATTTCTACTGACTTGGATTCCACAAGGAAAAGGAAATATGATGAGACGCTATCAGGTGTAGATGGTGAAGTGCAAAAGGTTAACCTGAAAAAGCTGTGTAAACGGCTACTACAGCAGGTATTGTGTTTTAGATTGCTGCATTTTTTTTTAAACTAGACTTGCACAGCTCACATTTTCTGATTTTGTCTGATGGGTTAATTATTACTCCAGGTGCCTGGAGAATCGATGAAGCTAAAAAAGCTTAAGGTTCTTGTTGATGAGCACTCGTCCTCTGCTTTCTCGAACTTCTCTTCGAAAAAAGATGCCCTTGCTCACTTAAAGCAGAAGGTTAGATAAGCTTCTTATGGTCTTTTTATTTGCATACTGCTGTTTGATTTTGCCTACAAAAAAAATGTGAACATGTAGTGTTTACCCTATTATACTTGCAGCTGGAAGGTAGTGGGAAGTTTGCGGTTGATGGTAAGAGAGTAAGCCTCTCTTCGAGAAGCGGCTGAAGAAGTTTTGGTTGATTTTTGTATCTACCGGAGATTGAGATTGTATACCGGAGCTGGATCTTGTCGATGAAGTAATCATGTTTTGCATCAAGGTCTAGGTCATATTAAGTGTTAGTAAAGGAAATTTTGTTGGTCACTGCTACATTAGCATTATTTGGTAATGTAACTCAAATTAAAGGAGGAAAAATGAGTTTTTTCTTCTTTAGATTTGCATTGCAGATCAACTATAGTGAGAAAAGGTTGTCCCGCATTGTACGGAATAAGATGCCAGACGATTATATTATCCATGTATTGAAATCTACTTATTCTGCTATGGTCTGCCAACTGTATGGCTTGAATTCATTCAGAATTTGGTATTGGAGCTAGAGTTCTGCTGTTAACTTACCCGAAAGAGTGCTCCTCTGCTAGATGTAGTTAGCTTGAACAATCTTTTTGGCGATGTACTTTCCTAGGAAATCATAACCATGATAGAACAGTGCCTCTATTTCTGCTCTCTTCCCGCTCTCAACCATCTGTGCCAATTCCTCTTTGTGTTTTTCCTGAGATAGAGTAGTATTACTGCATCAGCGTTTGATCTTTTACATTGCTATGAAAGCTAACAAGGGATATCGAGACATTGGTATTAGTATTAGCACCTGCAAAAATTCTGAGGACATCAAGCTTTTAGCTATCTGGAGATCTCGTGGCTTCAATGGAACTAGTGATTCTTCAGGTATGAGTTGTAGATCATCTACTCGCACTCCCAACCACCTCACATTGCATGCTGAAAAACGTACTGACAAGTTAGATTTTAATGATGGTTAAGGAGGGTCTCTAGGATCCTATGGCAAAAAAAAGGAGGGTCTCTAGGATCACCGACGGCATAAAAGCGCACCATATCTATAAGCTTCCAGGCCCATTCCTACGCTTCCATGCTTGAACGTGCACAGTATTGCTAGTCCAGCTGGATTCCTAATCAGATTGAGACGAAACCATACATGCAATCACTAGATGCCCTTGAATGGCAAACAGCATAGTAAATGAAAGCCACTCATACCAATCAACCAGCGCGAAAATGGGCAACTGAGGAAAAGCCCTGCTCATGCGGTGAAGGAGAAATCTGCATCGCCATTGAACAATTTTGAAGCGATCAAACAACTGATAACATGGCGAAAGTCCTGTTGAATTACTTACCTCGTAGCTATATCTGGGTACCCTTTGGCTGTGATAAGAATGCTTGGAATGTGATTGAATATGCGATCCTCGGTCAATCGTTGAAAAATTGCATGCTGCAGAAACCAATCAAGGGAAAAGTTTCAATTATCCATGGAAGAACCCAGAGGCAAAAGTAGAAACTACCTTCTCCACCACGATAATATATCGTGCATCTGATCTCATAATCAGTTTGTCCAGCAAGCTCAAGTCCCCAGAGATGGCATAACCAGAGGAACCACATTCAGAACAATCCACAATTTCCTGGTTTGGCTCCTGTTCCAAATATCCTTCATCAAATTATAACTCATAGAGAAGGAAGCTGGGAATTCGCTTACTAGGTGAAATTTGATTCCAAAAGAACCTACCTGCAACACTAATCTCCCAGCAACAACTCCTCGGCTGGAAGCCATTATTCCAAGACTGAAACGGCTGCACCTAAGCAAGGCCACGACATCTGCTTCACAATGTTTCATTCATTCAAATGGTAGCCATAGTAGTCAAATATTATTTTTCGCAAGAGGAAACACAGTAGTAGGACCTTGGATTGTCCGATTGACCTGCAGCTGTGATGAGAAGTAATCCGGCGACTCACAGAGCAGCTTGTAAAATAGCTCCCGCTGCGTGACTCGCTTCTCCTGACTCAGGATTTGATAGCACAGCTCCATCACCTTCCATACTACAACAGAAGGAGGTTTCCTCAATAATTCCGGTAATTGAACAAACTTGACGAATCAGGTAACTAACTAAGGACACCAGCTTCGTTCAGTACCTCTAACAAACGCCTTAGCTGCATTAGCTTTTGTCAACGACCTCACGCTAAGCATATCGGAGAGGAAAATCGAAGAGACGCCGGTTAACATTCCCTGATTCACTCTGCTATTACGCGATTTCCTGGATATCTGTTCTCATTTTTGTTATATAAAATCGATTCAAGAGACTTAGAGTCGAAGGATTCAATTGGCCTAAACTAGAATTTACAGAAGTGGAAGTTCTAAATAGAGTTTTTGAAGCCGTACCAGAGCTAGGTTGGAGATTGCCGGATCTGGAGAGGTTAAAGCCTTCAGGAAATTGATCACCGCGACTTCTATCCGAGCTCGAACCTTGTGAGAAATTGAAAATCTAGGTAGTTAAGTTGAATCGAAAGGGGGCTTCGTCGAGTGTGTGAATTATTCCACGGTGACGGAGCAGTGAATGGCTGACCTCATGAGCAGAGAGGATATCCGCGTAGCAGAGCTGCTGATCGGAGAAGAACGCCATTGATGTTCTGCAGAGGTCGAGTTCCTCCTCCATTTTCTTGCTCTCTCACTCTTTCAAATTTCAATTCGCGAACGGAACGTGAGCGCGCGCTTGCGGAAAGAGTTTGAATGACGGAAGAAGAAGCTTTATATGGCTGAATAGAGGAACTTGTTGGGCCTTCAAACTCACTGAGGTGGGCTTCGTGTGGCCTGCTTTCTTGAGCTCAACTCAAGGATCTTGTGAACTTTGCAATAAGACCTTACCCCATGATAAATGGAAGGTAAATTGGAAAGTTGGTTTCTGAGATTACTAAAAAATTTCACGTTTGTCCCTAAAAATATTTTCTTCAATTCATGATTTCTAAGATTAATTCAGTATTTCTAATTTGGTCATTGATCGTTGTTAGTCTCCGTTAACATCGTCAATTCATTAGTGTTTTGCTAACGTGAATAACAAAAATGCCGATTCACCCTATTTTATTCGCCATATCATAAAATCTGATGCGTCACATACATACCACTGCATAACCTAACCAAAATCCTAACGACCCCATCTTTTTGGCCATTCCTCTCCTCGAGTTCCCCTTCCTCGTCTTTCTTCATTGGAACTAAAAAACCATATCCCCAAACTAAAGCTCCTCTACTCTCCAATTCAATTGAGTTTGCTTGAATTTTCAGGCGTCCAATTGAGCACCTCATTTCGCCTTAAGCATCTTATTTGGTTTATTATTAGGCTTATACCATGTTTAACAATATTGTAAATTAAATGATGCACCTTATTTATGAATTAAATGCTATTTATTTTAAAATTTTCTTCCATTTTACATTATAAAAAACAATTGAAATTTTGTTACCTTTGGAATATATGTTGTAAACTCAACAAACACGCCCAACCAATCAACCCAATATACCTACATGTACATCCTTTGGGTGGGTCATGGGCGTCAATCATTTTTGCCTTCATTCACACGTAGTGAATTGTTTTAAACCTACTCAAATCTATATAAAACCACTCAGTGCTCACCTCTAACCTGCAATCTTTCGAATTGAGAGCATACATGTTAGAATCAGACTGGAAATGAGGAAATGGCCATGTTCATATTATCATATCTTAAGAGTTCATTTGAATTTTTAATTATTGATTAATTAGTACCGGTTTACTGTTACTCTTGAGAAAAATGACAATTACCCACCGGATACGGGACATTGACATTTCGGTATTTAGGGTACGAAGTCAAGATGTCGGTTCATTTTCTATTAGGAGGTTTGTACGTACGTAATAACTAGCTGGCCTGACCAACCAATTTACTGGCAGATATATATATGCACATGCATAATCACTTTTCGTTATCTCTGACTTGGTCAGGTAATCTACCTACGTACATCACTTTCTCTCTTGTTTTAGTCACTACTTACTCTGTTACACCAGCATCACATGGATTAGAAATTTCAGTTTTTTAATGGACAGTATCAAGTCCAAAACTTAAAACTCTGGGGTTTAATTTGAAGGTGGGATTTACGTCCAAATTTTATCTACCTATTATTTAGGTTAAAAAATCATATTTTACTTGGTAAAACTTAAAAATTAGACTTAAAAACTGAACCCAACCCAAAGCTCAGGGTTTGAATTTTGAAATGACCATTTAACTCTACAATAATAAGCAATTAAGTTAATTTACTATGGGATTGCAGTGGCACCCTGCTCACATAAGAAGGACGTAGTGCGAGTGACATAAGCGGAGGAAATTAACAAAATGTTTAAGTGTACGTAATAGACTAATAGTAAAAAAAAAAAAAACGCGTCAATCAATCAGCCAAGATTAGAACCGCGTGTGCATGGCTGCTTGCCTGAAAATCCATTAGTCAAGGAAAGGAAGACGCTCCCCCGTTTTCTCGCTTAGTCGGCACCTAGCGAGCCGATATATAATTTCCGCCAAGGATGAGAATTGGGTGGCAATGTATGGCGACGTGTAGATAGCAACTTTTCGGCTAAAAGCAAATTGACAACTTGCCCTCAAAAATCAAAATCCACATAATAAGGTTGCTTAGTTTCTCGCTTCACTACACGCCAGCCCTCGTACTACTTACTATATTAACTTCTTTTTTTGTACTAATAATATTAACTGAATATAGTAATAGCCCCAATGGATAACGTGGGTGATTAATTATCGGTTGTGACTAATTATACCCAGCCTCGTAATTAAATTAATATGAACATATAAGTTGTCTCCACTTTCCAGCCCAAGTTTTAGGACAAGAAGGGCCGGGCCAGGCCCAGGAAGAAAACAAAAGGCAGAACCAAAAATCCCCCCCACGACTAGTTCAAACCTTGATTGCCGTCATCTCAATCTATAGACTCTAGCTACTACTACTAGCTAGTTCCACTCTCCCACCACGCCTATGCATTTTCTCAGAACCTTTTTGTTTTGTTCTCATCTTCGTCTGCAGCTGGCCTGCCTCTTGTCTTGCCCACGACCTGGGGTATATAGCCGTAGCCATAGCCCTAGGTGGACGAGAGATCGAACAAGCTCCGGAAATGAACAAGGAAATATATGAAAGAGGTCGATGCAGTTTGTTATAAAGGCGGGCCAGGCGGCCAGAAATGAAAGCCTCAGCTTGCATCAGTTTGACATTAGATTTTAGTACTTGTATTTTCCAATAATGTATCTTGTAGCATTATTTAAGTAAAATTAAGGTCGTTAATTAATTAATACCCTTGCGTTTTTCTCTTTGATGAATGTCGCGTAACAAAACAGTAGATTATATATATGATCGTTGAAAGATGGTTGTTGACACTTTCAAACTAGCGGCTGGTTGGTATCTCCAAGTTTTTTCTTTTGAGTAATTAAGATAATGCAATTAATAATATTATTCCCTGGGATTCAGGCAACAAATTAGAAGTAGAGCGTCATGATTTGTCTGCATGTGCATGAGCATGACGATTTTTTGGTGCACTCCCATTGGATAATATATATTTGGAAGAAAAACTATTAAATATAATGGGATGGGGGAATCCCAACTTGCATGATTAAGTTCCGAGATGGATGTA